CTATATATATATATATATATATATATATATATATATATATATATATGGACAGAAGAATATACAACTGTCTCGTATATACCAGGGCTCGTTTTTCTGTGTTTCGACACAATAATAATGAGATCTAAAAGACAATAATGCCAAGGAAAGTATAGGGGAAGTTATTAGACTGAATTGTAACGTAAATGTTAAGAAAGGAAAGGGGCTGAAAAGATAACTTGCCGTGGCAGGAGCCGAACCTGCGACCTTCGAATAACGCCCACGGTTCCTGCTGCTCACGGCAAGTGAGTATATATTATATATATATATATATATATATATATATATATATATATATATATATATATATATATATATATATATATATATATGTATGTGTGTGTGTGTGTGTGTGTGCGTGTGCGCGCGTGTGTGGTGTGTGTGTGTGTGTGTGGTGTGTGTGTGTGTATATACATATGTTTAGTTTAGCACCATTTCGAAACGTTTCGCTCTATAAAAAAACACACCCAATCTCCCCAAAGGGAACCCTGATGGGATTCGAAGCAGCCATGTTGCGCACGGGTGACTGTAAGGGTGGAACGGCGCTAACGCGGGTGCTGCGGTGAGCGGTGGAAGATTCGTATGAATAGATAGTTGGTGTAGGTCTTGTAGGGGACACCTACAGACATGCTCCATTGCGTATGTTAAGGGCGCGTCATCTTTATTGCGCGTGAACCCGCGAGTCAGCGTAAAGCGAGCGGCGGTCACTGTAGCAAATCGAGCGGCGGTAGCGGTAGTAGACAGTTATAGTTTACCGTTAGCGTGATATCAGAAGTTAAGGGGATGACGTTACCGTGCAGCAAACGTTCGTTGCGGACAGCGTCATATAGTTTGGCGGGATAGCGTTTACGTGCCCCAGCTGGGATGGTAGCGCCACCTATTGGAGGTTTGAGAAGTAAGAACAATGAAAAGAACAAGAAAACGAGAATGTCTGCCTGTGTCGCCGCGCAAAGCACTGTTTCAAGTTCATTTTAGTAATAATAAAAGTAAACAATTGTGAACCGCGCCCCAAAAGAGAAAAAATTTACTTTGCAGATTTGTTTACTTAAACCTTCCCGTTAGGCCTAGACACGTTCAAAATGGGAAGCTATCACAAAAAGTTCGTCAACTTATCCATAATACTCGGTCATCGAAGCTAACTGAAGGCAGGCGAAGCCACTTTAAACAGTCGTTTACTGTGAACAAAGTGAATCTTTCAACATATACGCCAAAATCACTTCGAAACGGGCGTCCGAGAGCGCCGCTTCGAATTTTGAGTGATATGTAGTTTGATTGATCAAAGATTGATTGATATGTAGGGTTTAACGTCCCAAAACCACCATACGAATATGCGAGACGCCGCAGTGCAGGGCTCCGGAAAATTTCGACCACCTGGGGTTCCTTAACGTGCACCCAAATCTGAGCACACGGGCCTACAACATTTCCGCCTCCATCGGAAATGCAGCCGCCGCAGCCGGGATTCGAACCCGCGCCCTGCGGGTCAGCAGCCGAGTACCTTAGCCACTAGACCACCGCGGCGGGGCAAGCCTCTAAAAATTACGCCATAGTCACTTCCCTCCGTATGCTTGGCATAACACTGATTTTCATGGTTGGGATTTGCCGTATTTTTACCTTTAAATTCTGCTGCCGTTCTTAACAGGGGCTTTTCCGAAAGCGCTACTTTCGAATGCGGGGAACAATACGGCGCTATTTTTTTATTTAATTAGCGGGCTCTCATATTCAGGCAGATATTAATCAGTCCGCGCTCGCTTGGAAGTGCCTGCAATTGCTTTGCCACCCGTGGATAAATACAATAATACTTCTCGGCCCAGGTAACTTCTGTTAAATAAATTTAATAGTAAACGTTGTTAAACCAAATCAATGGTGATTAGGCCACAGTGGTATAGGAGCAATGGCCGTCTTAAGCGATCTCATTGCAAAATAGCTCGCACATCCTGTATATTAAAATTGCAGGATCCACTACAGCGTCAAGTAAATAATCGCATGAGCACTGATCTGTATGAGGCGTTACAATGAAATGCAACAACCATAGGCCTCCTTGCCCGTTTCAGTGTAAAAACGAGAAAATAATAATAATAATAATAATAATAATAATAATAATAATAATATCTGCGCTCTTAGGCCATCAAACCACGTTGAGAATATGAGGGACGCCGTAGTTGACGACTACGGAAATTTTGACCTTCTGTTATCTTTTATATATGGCACTGACATCGGATATGTAGACGGTTTTCCACTATTTCACTTGGCGCCGAAGCAAGCGACCACCGTAGCAGTCACGAACTTCAGGTCAGCACACAAGCTTATGAACCACTGTTCCACAGTGGTGGACAGACACTCTTTAAGTACAGCCACACCAGGATTCACTGAGCCCACGTATGTTAAAAAAAACGGGGTGAAGGTTTTAAAAAGGAAGAATAATGGGTGCGGTCCCCGTGAATAATGCAGCAGCCTTGATGCTTGCGACAAGAAAATATGACTAACAACATCAACCAACCAAATCCAACATTAGCCCATAGTAAAATAAGATCGGGCAGAAACTAGCCATTATTGTCCAAGACAAGACAACAACATCAAGTGCCTGATACTGCAGTCAACAGTGTTAAAACGTGACTGAAGCAAAGAAAAACAAAACAAAAGTGCTCAAGAATAACTGGACGCTAGTTTATTGCGACAGAAAGTATACACCAAAAGTTAGAATTAAAAAGAAAAAAAAACAAAAAACATGAACTGTCATATGGTCACAGTGAAGAAATGCACATACACCACGAGTCGATATACTCCACTTGACAAAAACATTTTCTCATTTTCTAGGAGTGCGAGCGAGGGTACGCGGACACACGTGTTCACTTTCTTCTTCATCTGAAAAGCTTGAGCAATTTCACACTCAGTGCAATTTTGATACCAAGCTTAAGATGACCTCTCATTCATTGAAGGGAGGAGCGTGTCCGCACGCGGAAAAATGAAAAAAGAAATCACAGCATATCCATGGAATGAATAAAGATGAGTGGGGCGAAGCGTCCGTTGATCCGTCCGAGCTTCCGTGCCTTGTCCATCCTCTGCCGCCGAGCCTCTGAATGCGCGCACGCCAAAAACGGTGCCTTTATTGTACTATAAAGCGCCCCCTGCGCGTACGGCGCCGCCAAAGAACACGCGATCGTAGTCACGGGATCGTCTCTCTCCTTCTGTACGTGGACATCAGTATCGCCCTCTATGGCCGGTTCAATGCCCCGCCGCGGTGGTCTAGTGGCTAAGGTACTCGGCTGCTGACCCGCAGGTCACGGGTTCGATTCCCGGCTGCGGCGGCTGCATTTGTGATGGAGGTGGAAATGTTGTAGGCCCGTGTACTCAGATTTGGGTGCACGTTAAAGAACCCCAAGTGGTCAAAACTTCCGGAGCCCTCCACTACGGCGTCTCTCATAATCAAATGGTGGTTTTGGGACGTTAAACCCCACAAATCAATCAATCAATCAATGGCCGGTTCAAGAACTAACTAGAGGCGGTTACACACAGTGACAACGGGGGACGCACGAACCACGCCATAAGGAGCTTCGCTCCTGAAAAAAATTGCCGCCAAGTTACTGCTAGTTGAGTACTGGATATTGCGGGCATGTTGTCGATAATGGTCGTTAAAGCAGCGCCCAGTTTGTCCCGTATAGGAACAGCCGCACTACAAAGGAATACCGTACTCTACGTTGTCTACGTAATCGAGGTAATTTGTTCTGCGTTCGGCTACTTATGTGTACTGTGTCCTGTGTTCGTTTACGTATACTTGTCTTTGACACAAGTATACGTTTCTTTGTTTCGTTAGCGTTGACGTGCCTGCACAAGCGGTTGAGCTTACGGAGAGCTGAAAAAACGAGCCTAACGCCCGCTTTGCTAACGATTTTATTGAGCGCGCGGCTTACGCCGTCAACGTAAGCAGTCGCAGAAATTTCTCGCTGTTCTGTGCTGTGAGTTTTCTAGCGCTTACCCTAAAAGTCCGCTCAGATAGCTTCATTGTCAAGCCACGCCAAATTACCATTGGATATGCGGCACATTTTAACCCCTGTATTTGGGCTTGAAATCTTTTTGACCTTGATAGAAACAGGATCTATTGAGTGCACTCTGAGAACACCTGGTAACTTCACATTTTGCGAGTTTCGTATTCGCCGAGTTGAATGAGAAAAGCATACGCAAGTTGGCGCATGCAAAATTCGTTGATAACTAACAGTGGCACCAGTTTAGCCAAAGCTTATAGTTTAGTCCTTTAAAGTTATAATTTATGTCCCGAAACCTCTATTTTAGAATGCAGAATACATTATTTTATGTGGTGGCGACACAGAAAATGATGCACGACTTACCTGACGTATCATGATATAGGGTACCAAAAAAAAAAAAAAACTAACGTAGATTGTTTCTAAGTGAAAACTTCAATGCTGCCGTTACTTATACAGATACACAAAGAATCGTTGCCGTAGTTCCCGAATACCCTTCGGTATGCAGCCACCGTGGTCTGCATTTTATACCACTACTGCGTGCTTTGTATCACAGCAGCCATCGCCAATAAGCCTTAATAGTGTTGTTGGTCATAGCAAAATGTCTGTTACATCCCCCGTTGCGTAAATTAAGCTTAACTTCGGAAATTATCGTAGATGGTGCCCGTCAGAATTTAGTTGTACTTTATGAATTCAAGATTGAATAAATTTTTAGTTTCTAAATAATTATCCAAAATTTATGATTTTGATACTAAATAAGCTGTCGAAACGTTCACGCCTTCACACTACAGTGAGCGCTGTGCGCGCATTGAGTGTATACAATGCACCTATCGTGCTTTTTATACCTACTCTCGTCGATTTCATTTCGCCTTCGGTACCTTAACGATCACCTCCATTAGGGAAAGAGCATTGAGCTAGCCGACAGCAAGAAACCAACTTCACAAACAATCGAAATGTGTGCGCAAGCAATAAAAAAAAAACACATACCTCAATGTAGTCAGCCTTGAAAACAGCAACTGTAGGATGAGGCCCTATATAAAATCTAAAGAGTCCATACTTTTTAAACATCTGGAAGTACGCCATCCGTATTTCGAGCATGGCTGCAAGAAAAAAATGCATATCGTCTTTACTGATTATTTCAGATATAACACCAATCGGCACTCTTATGAATCTTCAGCTACAGAAAATTAATCTGGTGTTACTAGCTTTTATTCTAGGGTAACGAAACTGCGCGACGTCATCTACACGTTATTCATTTAACAAAAAAAAAACGATATTAGCATTGCATTTCTCTTGCTATATTCAGTGGGCATAACTTCCAGCACTGTAGCGAGCAACTACAAAAGTCACATTAGTGCACTCAAACTGCGCTTCTGCGTGACGTTGTACATCCACGATTCAGAAAGATATCGAAGCACATACTCGCTGGTAGTAAGGGTGGCTTCTTGGCCTTGTTGCTGCAGCATGTTCATAAAGGTAAGCGCGACACTGAATTGACGAGGACGGGACAGAGAGAACATACACAAACGCTAACTTTCAGCAATGATTTATTTGAAGCCGGATCACAGAATATACATATGAAAAGATGAACACTCAAGGTTCCGCAAATGCGCTGGCTTGAAGAAATGACGATTCTTTCCTGGACGAAGATAGCAGGGTTGTGGACAAATTCTTGGCCTAGCTGAAGTATAGTAGTCATTTCTACAATGAACCACGTGGTTTAATCTTTGTGCATGCGAGTAACAGATCACTTGTCAAACACAGGTTAACTTTCACACGTGCGGCAATGCACGGATAGCATGCCACCACATTTGGGCATGCTTTAGTGTCCACCTTTTCATGTATATCTCCTGTGATTCGGCTTCCGATAAATCATTGTTGAACGTTAGCGTTTGCGTGTGTTCTCTCTGTCCTGTTCTTGTCAATGCATTGCCGTGCTTACCTTTATGAACATCGTGGGTAATGAATGGACCACCGAACAATGGATGATGACGATGATGGTTTTCGTTTCCAGCAACGTGTGACCAAAGAGCGCCGAAACAGTGATAGCGAGTTTCAATTGGAGTAATACATAATGAAGTGTAGATGCGACTAAAGTGTAAGTCTGAGCTAAAAACAAATCTGCGTGCCTTCGAAAAATTATGAAACATGTTTTCACCAATACTTCAAGCTTTCCCGAAGCTGCCCCTGTATGTGATTCTGAACTCCGGCGACAAGGGCAAAGAAACGTCTGCTAATAAACTAGGCCTATGCTCTAACAATGTGTATGTGAGTTTCTTTTGACTAAAACAAACCGAAAAAAGTGCATCGCCTTTTGATCAAGAGTAAACCGTTACGATATGTACAAAACGCTGCCGTGGAGCGTATTGACAGACTTAATCGAAGCACACACCCATTCCGGGACTAACAAAGGTAAGCACCATTAGGGTCAGGAAGGCTCGAAAACACATTCTTGGTCGTACTGCTCGAAAAGACCCTGTTTTTTTTATTTGTGCAGCGAGAGAAAACCTATAAGTATGCTTAAGGAATGTTGAAGCTTCTTTTTAATAACGACGTTTTGTGTTGAGATGCACCTTGTAACTCCTCAACTGCATGAAAATATCGCAGTACCTCAGCGCTTCAGACTATTTAATATTCTGCCCCAAATCCACTGTCGACCGCATATATTGTGAGAAACAACATTTTTTTTTAATGATAATAGCAGGGTAGCACTCAATGAATAAATGATGAGGCCATTGAGCGAGAGAGAAATATAATGTTTAGGTGAAAGGCACGGAGGTTAAGCATGAAACAAACTTCTGGTTTACTACCCCGCACTGGGGATAGAAAGGCCATAGGAAGCAACAGAACACATGAGAACATATTGTCAGTCCCATATCTGGAATATCCCACACGGTCATTTTTATGAGGTCCATACTACGCCCTTTTCTCGCATTTGAAACAGTGAAATCCGGTAGACGTCTGCACCTATTACAATGCAAAGGCAAATCCACACCTGCTACGCCAGTTGGGAGCAGACTGCGATGCTCATGTCATGCACCAGCCTGTCTGACCAACCTAAGATCGATCGCAAGATAGAACTGGTCCTGTGCGCTTCTTTTTCTCTGTGTTCACATCGGTACCTTGCTAAAACATTCACGCTACTGTCACGTGTCAGTGTTAGCTTTCCGCAAGTAGACATGATTCACCGACGTGATTACCACGATGATGCATGCCGCTGGCACCTGACTCGTTCGCCAGGACGGTTTGCGCTTCCTTCGATGGCGTCGCGTAAAAGGACGTAGACACGCATGTAGACCCGCATTCGAAGCCGCGGAGAGCATTTGAGCAGAAAAGACTATACGATCGTACTGTCCACTGTTTCGTAAACTTCCGTCGCATGGGTGAGCCAGCCACAAGATTAACAGTCATGTTGACACATGTTTCACATGTTTCTCCCGTTTCAACGTGAAAACAACGTAAAAACTACAATTACATTGCAGCCTAAAGCAAAAATACTCAAATTGTAAGGACTGTTTCTGTAACCAGAAGACTGAAAACACGCAACCTAATCGCCCGCCTCTTGGTAATCACTGTTCTAAGTATAATAGCAGGCGACTGCAACTATATACAGGGTGTTTCAAGAAATGTGTCTAATATTCATTAAAAATGACAAAAAGAAGGTATCTGCGTGCTACTTGCGGCGTTGCCTTCCTGTGGGAGAAGGCATCTTCAGATGCGTGGAAACAATAAATACAGCAGTAAGTATTGAAATTGACCAAATCAACTTTTTAATCAGTGGGGATAGCGGTTCGAGTGAAATGGGCCAATTCAAGCCATTCCTACGAATAGTCCATAACCTCTTTGAAATTTCGAAAAAGCGGCCAGCGTTAATCAATCCCCCTAGAGCAATGCAATGAGCCTAATTTAGCTGGAGAAACTGAAACCGACGCACCGAACAGCGCATATACCATTCACTTCGACAACGTCTTCATGCGCCACTGCGGTGGTCTATTGGCTAAGGTACTCGACTGCTGACCCGCAGGTCGCGTGATCGCATCCCGGCTGCGGCGGCTGCATTTCCAATGGAGGCGGAGAAGTTGTAGGCTCGTCTGCTTAGATTTGGGTGCACGTTAAGGAACCCCAGGTGGTCGAAATTTCCGGAGCACTTCACTATGGCGTCTCACATATGGTGGTTTTGGGACGGCAAACCCCACATATCAATCAATCAACAACGCCCTCAGTGACGACAGTTTCGCTTGCATTGGAGGAGAATAAACGAGCCTCGATAAGTGGCCGCGAAGCGAAGTGTCTAAATTGATGGTTGATAACGGCGAGGAAAACAGTGTCGTCACTGAGGGCATTGTCGAAGGGACTGGTAGGTACGCTGTTCGGTGCGTCGGTTTCGGTTTCTCCAGCAAAAGTAGGCTCATTGCATCGATCCGCGGCGATTGCCAGGCCCATTTTGGTCATTTACTGTGACCCTTCAATTGATAGCGCCATCAAACTTTTCTTTTCCTATCGCCGTGTGATAAAAGGGCTGCTTATGTTTGGTAGTGTACTTCAGTCCACTTTTGCGTCCCGAGTGAAGGACCATGCCGACAGTGCCGGAAGACGACGCATCGTAGATTTATGCCTGAGAGAATAATTTCAACGTGTCTTATCTGCGATGACAAACCGTCCTCTTGCAACGGTCAACCGGATAAGTCAAGCGTATAGCTCGGCCCACTGTTTGGGGGCACACGCGAGTGCGTGGCTCACGCTCCGCGGAGCGCCAGGCATGTCAAGCGGCGAAAAGCAACCGCATGCGCAAAACATCCAAGGAAGGTGCATGGCGAGCGTCGTCTGCTTGCGAATCACCCCTTCGCTTTGCTTGTGCGCGCCGGCGTTGCTATGGCAATGCCATTCATTTGCATGTCAAGAGATGCGCAAGTTTTCAGTGACACATTATTATCTCCCACCCATCGTGGAAAACAAAAATTGGAATATTTATTCCACCTTTTCAGGATCGAGCAATGATAAAAAATGATGAGCACAAAAAATATTCGCGTCATACGCCTAGTAGCGCGTAAAGTCTCCATTCGCGTTTAGCACATGCCTCATTCTCCGGGGCAGGGATTCATAGAGCTCATCCATGAGCGTCCTGTCCATTCTCAAGTGAATCCACTGATCTTGAACCGCTTCCCACAGTGTTTCGGCTCGCCCAATGGATTCCTCGGCGTGCCACAGCTTCTTTGATTATGCCCCACGCATGTTCTATTATATTTATATCAGCAAACTGCGGTGACCACTCCAGAACAGTAACACCTTTATTTTCCAGCAGCTTCCTTGCTTTTTTCGATGTATGAATGGGTGACTTGTCCTGTTGAAATATGGCATCATCGTCATGAAAGATTTCGCTGGTGAGGTGTCACCAGCGACAGTACTTGTCTGCCGTGAACTTCCCTTGGATTCTGAAGAGGGGCTCGATGCCTTGGCTTGTGATGCATCCCCACACCACGACACTTCTTCCGCTCGCGGTCACTCGCTGCACGTAATCTGATTTGTAGCTGGAAGGTAGAACAAAATAGTTAAGCTTCTGTTCGCCCAGCTCATTAAAACGACCGAAAAAAATTAGCCGCAGCAATTTGCATTGAAGAGTAGGATTGCATTACTCTAGGAATATATAGTGTTATATCCCCTAGAAGTTCAGTAATCGATGTCTGGCCTCGACCTTTAGTAAATTGTCAACCGTTTTGACACAAACAAGAACGTTGCAAGAATTATTGGCTGAGGAGCAAACGTAAAGCAAGAATGGGACCAGACACGAGGGAGGGGGCGTGTACCGCAGCCTGTTACACATGGCAGATTCTATAGTATATATGCGCTCAAAAGCGAAAAAAATTCTTACGGGACATTTCGAGCGCTCCAAACTTTCCGCTGTTGATGAAAGTCTGTAGTAAAAAAAACATCGACTCATCCGTGAATGCCACACGCTTCCATTAATTGACGTTCCAATCAAGGTGTTCCTGAGCGAACAGCAACCGTTTCTTTTTGTTGTTTTTTCACAGAAGTGGCTTTTTTACAGCGGTGAAACTGCTGAGGCCAGCTTCAGCAAGTCGTCGCTTCACAATCATCATCG